CCGCGGGCCTGCCCGGGGCCTGTCCCGCTCCCCCAGCCCTTCCCCGCCGCCCTGGAGCAGCCTGGGGCGGGTTTGGCCTCAGCCCGGGCCCAGCAGGGGGGGCTGAGGGGTGGGCCCGGCCAGGGGTCTGTTCATCTGCAGCCCCCAGGGCCTGTTGTTCGGCTGTAAAATCCCCCCCCCTCTGTGGGGTGTTGTGGGCGCTGAGGGCTTCGCAGCGTCGGGGGAGGGTGGAGAACTTCACGTCTGTGCTTTAGTGTGTAGCAAAAGGGAGTTGGGAAGCGTGGAGCCCAAGTGAGGCAGCCAGGGGGTGCTTAAATGTATTTATGCGTGGGAGTAAGTGGCACAAACACCTGCCTTTGGGGGCAGAGAGGAGCGGGTCTGCATGGGCTTGGGGTTGGATTTGGGGTTGCCTGAGGTTTGCTGCTTATCCAGAGCAGCTACTGCAATTAAACTTCAGACTGGTTGCTGCCAGAGGAAACTTGTGTCATAGATATAAACCATTTGCTAATCGATATTTCCTTGCTTTATGGAAGAAGCTGTATCCTTCAGCTTCTCCCAGGAAGCTCTGCTGGATCTGTTCTTTCCCAGGTGCATCTGTGAAGTGGCAGAAACAGGAGATGTGAGCTGAAACAGTGTTCAGTTGTAGCTGTGAATCACAGGCTTGTGTGGGGTTTTTTCTTTTGTACAGCTGAGTTTTATTCATGGAGTCTGGTGGAAGTTCAAATAAGAATTTCTGAGATTGGAATGTTTTTGTAGTGTTTCTGAAGGCGAAGCTCATCAGGAAGCTGTGTTACCAAGTTTTTCTTAAAGTGTAGGCTCTGGGTTTTGTGTATCCACAGTAGTATTGTCTAGATTAGCAGGGTAAGTTGTTGGTAAAGCTGTTTGTGTATTTACAAAAGGGAATTATTCCAAACTATAGGTGAAAGGGAGGATGGAGCTTTCTGGTAGAGGTGTCTGCTGGTAGGAAACTGGTTGTTTTGCCTCACTTGTGTGTGTGAGAACAACTGCCTGCTGATTTTCCTGCTGTGAAAAATGAGGAGAGTTTGGGGGAAGAGGAATAACTGGGAGAAGGAAGAGGGTATAATAATTGAGTTTAACATTATGAAGTGTTGGGGAAGGCATACAAGACAAGATAAGAAAACACTCCCCATGACATCAGTCATTTCTGTCACTAACTCAGTTGCTGTGTGGCACGAGGCAGTAGAACCATGGGGGTAACTCCTGACTGCTCTGCCCAGAACCTGTTTTCCTCTCCCTTTTTTGCCTTGGTTGGATGATTGTGTCTTCCCTCCAGGCCTTGTGCTGTCAGATCTTGGTGCTGCATGTTTTTGTTGCCCTCTGTGCTCTCCAGAACTGACTTCTTGCCTCTCCTGTCTTCTCAGTCCCTCTCACCTAGAGGAACCTCTCCCCTTTCTGCTGTCCCATCACGGGAGAATGCAGAGCTCCAGCACCCTGTTCTGTTCAAACTCTCCCTGTTACCCCAGGCTTCTGGCCCTACCCTTGGACACTCAGCATTTCTCCTGCCACCCAGATGTTTGATTTCCCTCTACAAACCAAAACCACTTCTAACCCTTCACTTACCAGCCTCTTCCTGTACTTCTGCAGGAAAATTGCTGCCCTGTGCAACTTTCAGCAGAGCTGTTCCCTCCCATCCCTTTCCCACTTCCTTTTGGCAGCCTCAGCTGCTGTGTGGAGATCAAAAAGGGTGGCTGTTGACTTAACAGTGCTTCTCCAGGGCTTCATCCCTTTGGAATTGTGTGTGGAGCTGCAGGACTTGCCCTTGTCTGGATCACAGGGCATGATCCTCCTCTCTGGAAGGGCCCGCAAGTCACACACTTCTAACCCACGAGTTCCCCTTCCATCAGTCACAGAGGGCTCTGTCTCTAGGTGGTTGAAAGTGTAGGTTTCCTGTCCAGTAACACACGTTCTGCCCCTTCCAGGTACCCCCTGACAAACTACACCTTTGGCACCAAGGAGCCCCTGTATGAGAAGGACAGCTCGGTGGCCGCGCGGTTCCAGCGCATGAGGGAGGAGTTTGACAAGATCGGCATGAGGAGGACAGTGGAAGGGGTGCTGATTGTGCACGAGCACAGGCTGCCCCACGTCCTCCTGCTGCAGCTGGGCACGACTTTTTTCAAGCTGTAAGTGGCTGCTGCTTTGGGAATGTCATTTCCCAGTTGTCACTTTGGGTTGTCCGCCCAGCGCGTGGGGCTGGTGGGTGTTTGGGGTGGGGCTGGTGGGTGTTTGGGATGGGGCTGGTGCCTTGCAAAGGGTTGGTGTGGGAAACCTTTGGAATGATGAGGTCATCATAGAATGCTTTGGGTTGGAAAGGGCGGTAAAGATCATCTAGTCCCAACCCCCTGCATGGGCAGGGACACCTCCCAGCAGCCCAGGCTGCTCCAAGCCCCATCCAACCTGCCCTTCAACACTGCCAGGGATGGGGCAGCCACAGCTTCCCTGGGCAACCTGGGCCAGGCTCTCACCACCCTCACACCAAACAATTTCTTCCTCATGTCTCACCTCAATCTCCCTCTTCCAGTTTTAATCCCTTCCCCCTTGTCCTCTCCCTCCCTGCCCTTGTCCCAGGTCCCTCCCCAGCTTTCCTGGAGCCCCTTCAGGCACTGGAAGCTGCTCTAAGGTCTCCCTGGAGCCTTCTCTTCTCCAGGCTGAACACCCCAACTCTCCCAGCCTGTCTCCAGAGCAGAGCTGCTCCAGCCCTCCCATCATCTCTGTGGCCTGCTCTGGGCTCTGCCCAGTAGCTCCATATACTCTTCAGTTTGGAGGCTCCAGAACTGAACCCAGTGCTCAGTCTTTCATCTGAGATACATTTATCTCTGCCCATGAGCCAGGTTACAGTTTTGAACCAACTCTGCTGCATCACTGAGGTAGATTCCTGTTTAAAACTCATTGTCAGCAGTTTGTGTGTCATTCTTACCTTGTGAAAGCTGTTATGCTTCAGTGTGCTTATGCTGTGGCCACAAACAAGGGAAAGTGAAGCTTTAGCATGAACCCCAGTAAATGCAGAGTGATACCTGCTCACAAACTACTGGGTACAGCAAGAAAGGCAGGGATCTGACCTGGAGAAAATCACTTCATCTAGTGGATATCAACGCTGGAGTGAAATTGTAGGGTTTGGATCATGTGATGATGATGGTGGCAGTGCTTTTCTTTTTTAAACAGAATGGGCTTGACTTGATTCATATTATCCTGCTTGTGATCTTTTCCTTCTCTTCTTGACGTGTGCCTTGTTTGTTCTCAGGTGTGTGTAACATGGAATTTTACATCCAGATTCTTCCTTTGACGTCTTGATTTGGGGGATAGGTGTGGATAGGCAGGCCAGACTCTCAAGTGATCATCTCTATGATGATAAAAATGTTGTTGGTTTGTTGGCTTTTTTAAAATTAACCTTTTATCAAATGCAGGATTGTTTCTCATGTGGGATTTGGTTTCTGCTTCCTGTTTGCTTCAGGGAGTGCTGGTTTTGAGAGAAGAACTAACACAGTCAGGGTTTACAACCCTTTCTTCAAACTTCTGGGGCTTTTATATTATTATTTTAAGTGTCCCAGTTGTCATCATGTGTATTGTTAAACTTTGTCCTGCTGCATTTGAAGTATTTGATATAATTTATGGTTTTTCTTTGAGAGAGAGAGAGAGACACATGGAGCAGCCATTTTAGTCACGGTTTTGCTGCCAACTGAGTTTCTGCTGCCTTCAGACCTTCTGACCTGAGGGTCTCAAGTGAATTTGTGACTCCCTGCCTGGAAGCACCATCCCAACCTAGCTGTGGAAGTCTGTAGCTGCAGAAGGACAACACTTTATTTTTCCTCTTTGATTATTTTAACAGACCTGGTGGTGAACTCAACCCAGGAGAAGATGAGGTAGAAGGGCTCAAACGCTTAATGACAGAGGTCTGTTTTCTGTCCTTATGTTTCTGTGCTGGGATGTTGCATGATTTTTAGAATGAACAGCCAAAACAATAGTCTCCTTGTTGCTTCTGTTGTTTTGATGCTTTTGTGATGTTCTTAGGTAGTTAAGAAATAAAGCAGTAAGTTTGCATTTATCTGCATCCTGAGTGTGCCGTGTGGTCTAGAGGCTGAGCCCTGCCTGCTGCTCCAGTCCTGCCTTCATTTCCAGCTTCACTTTTGGGCTGGCTTCAGGCAAGTGGGTGTGCAGATGGGCAATGAAACATGCTGCAGAGCACAGCTGATGAAGGTTTGGTTTTTCAAATAGTCTCCCCAATACAGCCATTAAACTTCCATGCTCTCCACTTAGTCTAAATTAATTCTTTCACGTCGTGTAACGTTGCGTTTAATTCTTCCCATTGGTCTGATGGGACTCAGTTCAACTGAGCATGGAATTTGAAAATGTCCTTGTCCTGTCAGGTCAGGCTTTACACTAGCAGATGTCACTTTGTACAGAAATTCTCTAAAATTCTGTTACAAGCTGTTCTAAAGCAGTTCTTGAATGACATCAGCCCCATATTACAGCAAGTCTTCATGCTTCGAGTGTGTGTGTTGTAAAAAGATGGACCTGGGGTATGTAGGGTTTTGACTGTAAGTGGGGTTTTTTTGGCAGATACTGGGTCGTCAGGATGGTGTTCAGCAAATCAGCAGGACTGGGTGATTGATGACTGCATTGGTAACTGGTGGAGACCCAACTTTGAACCTCCACAGGTGGGTATTCATGTTGAATCTTCATCTTCTTCAATTATTGATGGTTCTTCCAAAAACCCTCAACCTTCCACTTGGGCTTACCTGCTGCATGAGCAATTTTTTTTTTGTTTGTTTTTTTTTACCTGTTTCATCTCCTTTCTGTGGAGAAGCCACAGACTTTTTCTTCTGGGAACTCCTCACACCTGTCCTGGTGGATGAGGAACCACTGGCTGTAGTAGCTTCTAGTTCTGTGCTGAGCCAGACCTTTACGTTCCTGTTTTGTCTTGCACTTCTGTGTATGGGACAGATGCCCTGTGAATAAAATGGCCTTGCTACCCCACTTCTAAATGCTTTAATACTGAAAATAACTGCTCAGTTTGCTCTTAGGCATCTCTGTCTTGTTGGGTTGTTTGAATTGCTCCTGAGGGTTGGTGCCCTGTGAGATCCTGTCCCAGTGATTTTCATTATTGGATGCCATGAATGAACAATATATGACACATTGAAAGCTTGTACAGTACTTGAGAATTTATAAAGTAGCACTTTAAGACTGCACAATATTTTCTGTTTTTAAATGATTGTAAATTTTTATGTTGTTTTTCTTCCAGTATCCTTATATCCCAGCTCATATTACAAAACCAAAAGAGCACAAAAAGCTTTTCTTGGTCCAGCTTCAAGAAAAGGGTAAGTGTGTCCTGGCAACAAAGGATTGTATTTGTAACAAGGTCTAAATGCTCACCCTTCATGCAGGGAGATGTGGAAGCCAGTTTGTGTTCATGTGCTTGCAGTTGTTGGTAGTTGAACACTCACCAAGTGAAATGCTGATGCTGGTTTTGGTGGTAGGTGACCTCTGAACAGGAGTTCCTAGTAAATAAATGCTCATTCCTGCTCTTGCATCAGGAAATGTGCAGCAAATGACCCCCATATTGAACTAGAAAAGGAATAAACCTGCTGGTTCCGTGTGTAGTGATCTTGTTTTGAGGGGTGTGTGGGGGGCAGTGATACCTGAGTGTGTGGTTGTCTTGATTAATTGACTTGTATTTGGTTTTAGCTTTGTTTGCAGTCCCTAAAAATTACAAGCTGGTTGCTGCACCATTGTTTGAGCTCTATGACAATGCACCAGGATATGGACCCATCATTTCCAGCCTTCCTCAACTTCTGAGCAGGTATATTAGGATTTGTTGTGACTCTTGGGAACACGCTGGCCATGAGGAACCAGAGCCAAAATAGGCATTATGGAAACCCAACTGTGAAAAGGTTGCAGATGTCCCAGAGAGCTTAGACTCTCCTTTAGACAAGATGTGATGGACACTGGTCACAACTTACTAGTTCCAAAGTCCTATCGGGCAGTTCTAGCCAAGGGAGATGGTGAAAGATGATGAGGATGAAGCTGTGCACAGGCTGAAGAACAGCTTCTTGGAAGTGTTAGGGACAGCATGGGAGTGAAAGCCAGGGTGTGTGTGTTATCACAGCTTGGTGCTGGTGACATCTGGTGGGTTGGTTAAACTCTCTGTAGCATCTTTACAACACAAGAATCCACAGGGACAGCTGTGTGCTTTCTTTCCTTTTCCCTCTTTGGCTTTCTCACTGGCAGTGCCCTGTACCTGGGCTCTCCAGAGCTGACTGGTCTCCCTGCTTCCTGTTCCTTCAGCCAGTGTTCAGGAACACCAGGCATCCCACAGCCTGTCAGCTCTTAGGGCAGTAGTTCTGTCACCCACCTGCTTGGAAGGGAAAAGCCTGTCAGCACTTGTTTCCTGTGACAGCCCTGTATCATGCTGGGTTTTTCCCCTTTTTTCTAGTCTCAATTTTAGGGATTGTAGTTAAGGGGGCTTCCTGCTCTAAAGACAGCAGATATTTCCCTTGAGTTCCAGCAGGCACTGGCTGTTGTGCAGCCAAGTACCAGTTTGGTACCAGTGCAACAGACTCTTCAAAGGAAGAGCACCTAGTATGTGCTTTCACTGTTGGGAAACTGAGTTGAGAAGCATTACCTGTTGTGTGGTGTGTGTCCCACTCTTGCCCTTGGAGTGTATGAAGTTGGCCCTGATACCAGAAGTGCTGTGAAACAATTGCTTCTGGGGGGTACATCACTCACTGGTGTTTTCATATCCCTGGAGTTCTCTGAAGAGATGAAATGTGAATGATTAGTTCTTCTGCAGCCTCAAGAGACTGATGTGCAGTGTGTAACATTGCTCTTAAAAATGATGCTTCATGCTAGACTCTAAAGCTGTTTTATTTAAAAAAAAAAAAATCTCTTCAGTCCCATCAGGAGGCTTACCAAGAGCAGAAATCATTTGCTCATTCATTCTAAAATGTCCCTTCAACAGAAGGAACATCTCTCATTTGCTATAATCCCTTTCATTTTAGGTTCAACTTCATTTACAACTGATTTTCCAGACACCTGAAGAAAGAAGAAGCCGTCTCTGTGAGCACAGCTTTAAAATGTAGAGAAAAAGAATATGTGTGATGCAAGGATGTGGGTTTGGTTTTTGTTTTTTTTAGTCATTCTTTTCCTAAAGGCCACTCAACTTTTTATTGTATGAATAGAGAAGTGAACATCAACTGTTTAGGTAGTGGGATGGCAATGTGATACTAGTGTTCTAATCACTTTTTGTTGTAATACTCACCAGGTATCTTTTTTTTGTACAACATTAAACAAAATGGTCAAAATCCTGTTTGGTTTTTGCTTTGTTTTTTTTTTCCTGTTTTGGTTTTGTTGTCTCCTGCTTTTAGGCACATTTTAAATATTATCACTTTCCTTCAGGACTACAGAAGATTTTGGAACCAAGAGGAGGGGGGACCTGACCTATTCAGGGACCATTTGGATGCTCTGACCTGCATCCCTGAGCAGAGAATTAGTCTGAGGGAGTGATTAAACAGTAGAAGTTGGGTGCAAATTAATTTTGAGTCTTTTTTTTTTTAAACTTGGAGAAAGGAGTTTTGAGGGAGAGTACTGAGAGGCAAGTGTAGCCAGGGTTCAGAGCTGATCTGGAAGCATGACTGTTTCTGTGGCAGGAGGTCTGAGGTACATCTCCCTCTGTGCCCCCTTAAAGAAAATAACCCACTGAGTTCTGTTTGACCTGAGATGCAGTTAAATCATGGCAGGAAAACTGTGTATCCTTTCTATAGCTAAGGGGACTGACTTTGGGCCAGTGTTTTGCCAATGCCATGTGCAGGTGGTTCCATGTTATGCTGAGCTGTTGCAGTGAACCAGCATCATACCCCTTGCAAGGGACACTCCTTCCTCACCTCAACGTTTCAGGCTCTTGCAGGTAGCAGATATCAGCCTTTCTAGTTTGGTTTGTTGGGTTTTCTTTTACATGCTTGGCTAAACATCAGCTCCAGTGGATGTGTCCCTTCCTGTTGCCTTTAGCCCCCTGTAGTTGTGCTCAACTCTTTAATAAATGCCTGTCTCCACCTTGTGCCTCTGCCCAGAAGCTGCACTGTTTGTTTGTGTGCTCTCCTCACTGGTGAAGGTGCCCAGAGAGCTGAAAACAGGCTTGGTTCTCTTGCCAGTCGTGCAGGGCAACTGTGACACCCTGTGTTGCTTTGGGCAGACTCCTGCTGTGCAGGAGGAGATCCATTCTGGGGAAAACACATGGAATATTTAAGGGTGGGCTGTTTGCTTTGGTCCTGTGGAGGGAAGGCCTGGCTGTGTGGTTAACAAAATGTATTGGGGGCAGAAAATAAAGCCAAGCAGGGATGTGTGTGTTGGACGTTGGATACAAGAACAAGCAGCAGCAGAGCTCTGCTGCCCAGGCCTGGCTTCTGCCAGCATCCCTCACCTTCCCTTGCTTTGTGCCTCTTTTGAGCTGGAGTCATTTTATTCCAAGCACTTTCAGCTACCTGTGAGGGAGGGCTGCTGTGTGAGCTCTGCTTTCTCCCTCCTTCCCCTGCCTGTAGGTTTTGGTAGCACCTTCTCCTGTCTCAGAATCACAATCTTAAGGGTTGGAAGGGACCTGGGAAGCTCACCCAGTCCAACCCCCCTGCCAGAGCAGGGGCACCCAGGGCACATCACACAGGATCCAGGGGGGTTGGAATGTCTCCAGAGAAGGAGACTCCACAGCCTCTCTGGGCAGCCTGGCCCAGGGCTCTGGCACTCTCACAGCAAAGAAGTTCTTCCTGAGATTCCCATGGAACCTCCTGTGCTCCAGTTTGCACCCACTGCCCCTTGTCCTGTCACTGGACATCACTGCACAAAGCCTGGCTCTGTCCTCCTGACACTGCCCTGAACAGATTTGTGCCCATGGATGAGGTCACCCCTCAGTCTCCTCTTCCCCAAGCCCAACAGCCCCAGCTCCCTCAGCCTTTCCTCAGGGAGCTGTTCCCCTCCCCTGGCTCAGCCCTGGCCCCTCAGTGTCTCTCCTCCAAGCCCCTCTTCTCCAGCTCCCCCAGCCCTCCCTCAGGGAGCTGTTTCCCTCCCCGGGCCCCTCTCAGGCGGTTCCACCCCCAGCACCTCCCCGGCCG